TAACAACGAAACATTGTGCTTCTCTAAAATAATTGAAGCAAACAGGATGCACTTTCTGCCGTCTCGGTCATGTGAACTTGAGGGAGAAATTTTGAAACTCCATGTATGATAAATATATTTATAGAGAGTGAAATGTCTACTTTCAAATGAAAAATATTCAAATAGAAAACGTGTGTTAGCATGGATGATTTACATGACATTTAATGTGTGTGCAATGCACACTGTGCATTGTTTAAGCTGGCTTTCAGTTCAATAAAATAACAAAAAAACTACAAAGTACATTCAACTAAAGTGGGCATGCTGTGATCTGTACTGTATTTCTTACTGTAACTGACAGATTCCGGCCAAAAAAAACACAACACAGGAGTGGGAGGGAATGGGAGTCATTCTTCTGGGACTGGGACTGGGACAGGACGGGATTTTCCCCCAGTTTTTTCGTGGGATTGGGAGGGGATGGGATTTTTTTGTGGGAGTGGGACGGGAGAGGTTTGAACATCCACTCCCGTGTCACCCTCTACTCCAGAACTGAACCAACCGTGCAGTTAAGTGGGACCTAAGCCTCGGCTACGTCTGTACCATGGCATCCAGCCCAACCAGAGCTTCCATTTCCCGGGCCTCAGCCCCTGCCTTGACAGGATGTCTGTCTGTTGATATAAGAGACCACCGCTATGTTGTCTGTACTTTTTTGAATCAGCACATGATGGCCTTTCAGGTCTGGGAGAAAGTGTTTCAGAGCCTGAAACACGGCCAACATCTCCAGACAATTCATATGCCACGTGAGATGGTGACCTCCCCATAGACCCTGGGCAGAGCTGCCACTCATGACTGCTCCCCAGCCCATGAGGGAGGCATCCGTCGTTAGCTTATGCGACAACAAGGAGATAAGTGGTTCTCTGTAGTGGAGAAAGCACACTTTCCCTGGCGCTTAGCCTTATCCCCAGCTCTTTCATATGGGCGAGGACGGCATCTCAATGCCGAACCGCCATATGCTCCGAAGAGCTAATATCAACCAATTGTCTATGCAGATGCCCTGGAATCGCAGAGGAGCCAGAGCAGCATCCACACACTTGGTGAAAGTGCGGGGTAAGAGGGCACACCTCTCAGGTCTGGGAGAAAGTGTTTCAGAGCCTGAAATGGCCAGCGTCTCCAGGCAAATTGTGTGCCACATGAGATGATGGCCTCCCCACAGACCTTGGGCGGAGTGGTCACTCATGACTGCTCCCCAGCCCATGAGGGAGGCATCCTTAGAGTTACACAACGGCAAGGAACCCCCAACACAGGGCCCTGTGACAGGAACCATAGTTTCTTCCACATGTCTAAGGCCCGTAAGTGTCGCCGCGTGACCTTGATCATGAAGAACAGGTTGCCTGGAGTCGCAGGGGAGCCAGAGCAGCATCCATAGACTTGGTGAAAGTGCAGGGTGAGAGTGCCAAACCAAACGGAAGAACCCGATATTGGTACACTTTGCCCCCGAAAGCAAACCTCAGGAACTTCCTGTGTTGAGGAAGGATAGATATGTGGAAGTATGTGTCTTTCAGATCTATCATCACAAACCAGTCCTCAGACCTGATTTGAGACACGACCTGTTTGATCGTGAGCATTTTGAACTTGAGTCGCATGACTGAGAGGTTCAACAAACGTAGATCTAGAATTGGACGTGACCCCCCATCCTTCTTCGGGGCGATGAAGTACCGGCTGTAGAACACGGACTCTCTGTCGAGAGGAGGGACCACCTCGATGGCCTCCTAGAAAGTGTCTACTTCTTGTTCCATGACCAAAGCCTGCTCGGGGCCCACCACAGTGGGAAACACCCCGTTGAATAGAGGCGGACGAGACCCGAACTGAATCTTGTAGCCTCTTTCTACAGTGTGCAAAGGTGTACTAGCTCCACCTGTATAGATCTGCTATGGGGTGATAATGTATGCTATGGGGTTTATTCATATCTGTTATAAGTGTAGCACTTATAAACTTTCTCCCCTGCACTTTCAGAACTTCAGAACTGAATGTTCTTGATTGAATCAATGAAGAGTTGTTACACACACTCTCAGTTTTCCTCTCCCCTCTACATTCCTGACTCCTCTGGTGCTCTTAAGAAACTTCTTAATACTCAACATGGAGTGGCCACTTTTTTTGAGGGACCAGGACTGTGAGGAATGTAAAGAATCCTCATCAGAGTTCACCCCAACATCACAATCAAAGGTCTGAGAACATTTGGGTTCATCAACCAATCATAAGAAAGTATTCAACAGCCTGTATTATAATAAAGTATAATATTACATCCATTATAACTGTAGAGAGAAAGAAATAAATGATCATTAATAATATTTTAAACATCTTAGCTGAGGTAAGGTGTTTAACCCAGCGCTGGGTTATATTTAACCCAGCATTTTTTAGAGTGTAGTATGAGCTCTAACGTGAATGCAATGGAAGTAATAATTATTTTCTTATGGTTCCTTATGGATCTTTCCTTATCAGCTGTTGTGCCTTAGCAGTGTGTGGGCAAGGCGTCTGATTAGTTACTTCATTTTCTATGCGGACTGCAAACCTAATTATATTGGTGATTTAGGGAGAGTTGAAGCCTGTGGAAATAGTACTAATTCTGCTCATCTGAATAAGCTCACTCACAGTAGTCAACGACATCCATGTTTGAGCCTAAAAGCAAAATATGTTGATTTCGTTGGGGTTATTCAGACTTCTGCAACTGCTGAATGCCACTTCAGAAATACATAACTGGACCAAGGGCACCTTGTGGGGATGTGTGCCAAAGCAGAGGTTCTTCAACATCAGGAGCATTTGAGTACAGTATTTAAATGCGATATCCCTGTCAGCCAGCTTTCAGGAGATGGACGGATTCTAAATGTCATTTTTATATATATATATATATATATAAAGACTTCCACACACATAAAGGCTTCCATATCACAATCCGCTATCATTCATTTTAGCTGAAAAAACACTGTGTTATGCTGCTTGATGTTGCAAACTGGCATTTGTTATCATATTATTTTAATCATAAACACATTGGTTTTTACTGTTTGCTGCACTTTATTTTTGGTCATTTACCTACAGCGTCTAATGAATGTTATTTATATGAAGTAAAATACTGTAGCCCACTTCTGGACTGAAAAATAAAAGGGATACCATTTATTGTGAAGTCACAGCACACAGTTGCAATTTAATTTTAAAACACTTTAGAACTAAACAAAAAGTAACAAAAAGAACAGCAACTAGTAGCCAGAAATATACTATAAATTTAGTTGGTATCTGACAGGTAAATATTAGACAGCAGTGCCCTGAACATTAACTTTAAGTGCCAGCAGAGGTGATGCTCAATTTTGGTTGAAATTCCCCTGATATTTAGGCCTCACTGTAATGTTTTTCACTGTAATGTTTTATTGGCTTTTGCAAGAAAATATAATTGTTTTGGCTGATAACTTCAATATAACATATGGTCTAAATCAAATTCTACAAATTATTATCTGAGCCTGACTGATGTACAGTAAATGACATTGTCTCCTTGAGAAAACATTATGCCAAAACTGACAACTCTTTTTCTTTTTTTTAGATTCCGTGTGGTGATGCATATGTTAAATATTCGCATTAAGCACCAAAGTGAATATATGAGGAACAAAATCACAATATGTCTTCATGGCTTTAAACAGGTGCAGTTTCACTGAGGGAGGGAGAGTGAGTCATTCTGCAAATGACATACAAGCTTGAGCTTTTTGACTGAACAGGAAATAAATAAATACATAAATACATAAATTAATGTAACTCTCGCCAACTAATTACTGCTATATAAAAAAAAGACCATAATAGCGAGATGAGGAGGACCATGCTCCATGATCCATGATCCAACCCATTCCTAAACAAGGTTTTAGGTTTAAAACAGTAGCACAGCTTTGTTCAAATACATTGTCTGGATCAGTAATCTGTGTACAATATATAAATAGTGAATAACTAAAAGCTGTTGCGCTTTTTTAAAGAACTTATGAAATCATCATTATTTATTAATTTATCGTGGCTTTAGTTTGCCTCCCTCAGCTTTGAGGCCAACCCTATGGTAGTGTATTGTTTCACATACAGTACGTTCCACATAACAATTTTCCTCTAGCAGATATTTGTGTAAAATGTATATCTTTGACTTCCAGTAAACAAAACAAAAGTATTGCTGACTCATCTTGCATTCAGGGGCAAACATTTTTGCCCATAAAAAATCTTATAAATAAAAGCACCATAAAGGTGCATTTTCACACTTTTGAAATATACTGATGATGCGACATAAAGCTTTGTTTTACTGAGGTAAAAGTCAACGTATAACTATGAGTTGTGTGTTTTATAGTGGTCTATTTTACTAATGGAAAATGTGAAGGAAAATTGATTACTCTTGTAGTAACGCATAACCTTGAATGAAAATTTACTACATTTTAGGATTCTTCAAGATTATTTTCATACAAAATTCCAATGTGCTACTGTCATCATATTCGGAACTTAAATATTCTTAAATACTGTAATTTACCATGAAGGTAGTGAGCAACATCGCCTACAATTTGTAGGCTACTTTTTATTTTTTTTCTTCTGAAGTTAAATATAACTCATTAATCAATGACAACACTTGCCTCCACTTTGGACTTTTGGCACTTGTGTGTGTTTTGAACAAGGAATTGTGAATGGAAAAGAGCTGCCTAAAAGATTCTTCAAAATAATCTGGGGTTTCAGGGTTTGGAACAACACCAGGTCTTGTAAAATAATAACATAATGTTGACTAAACTATTACTTTAATTGGTGATTCTCTGCCAAAGGGTCACCGTAGCCTTCATTTAAGCGCTTGGAAACGATCCGCGGCGATGTATTCAAACCCTCCTCCGAGCGGGAAATTTGTCGCCATCCAGCACCCATCTGCGAGTGAGGGAAGGAGGGGGCGGGAAGGTTCGTTTGAGGAGGGCAGGCTTTCCAACGTTACTAGCGCTCCCCCACTACCCTCATTTCAGCATCTGAGGCAAATACTTCAAAATACACCCATTGGACATGAAAGAATTCACTGGAAAATAAGCGGAAAGACAGAGGGGGAAATCAGCTGCCAGAGCTCAGAAAGTGTCTGAAGTCCGTCGGAAGAAAACAAGGATTTATCTCTGGTGAGGTACATTTCATGTTATAATGACTGAATGATGCGTAAAATGCGTGTCATATAGATATAAAGACAGGGAAACGCTGTTAAAGACATGCCTTCGTAAAATCCCGCAGTGTTTTATTCACGAGTAAGTGTGTTTTTCAGAGGAATACGACATTTGTTTTAAGGTTTAACAGGTCTCTTCTCGCCGCAGCAGACTACAGATACACTGAGGTGAACCTGACCAGGAGCGAGAGCTTATCACTGGCAAGACTGACGACTTGAGATGATATCACTTAAAATATTGCTTTCCCCCATTTATTAAGATCAATTTTACTCACGCTGTCGATCGGTAGCGAATTTATTCACACTGTTGAAATACTGATGATGCGACATAAAGCTTTTGTTTTACTGAGGTAAAAGTCAACGTGTAACTAACTATGAGTTGTGCGTTTTATAGTCGTCTATTTTATTAATGGAAAATGTGATAGAAAATTGATTACTCTTGTAGTAGCGTATAACCTTGAATGAAAACTTACTACATTTTAGGATTCTTCAAGATTATTTCCATACAAAATTCCAATGTATTATCTGAGAAGGAATGTGCTACTGTCGTCATATTCGGAACTTAAATATTCTTAAATATTGTAATATTCCAACGAATAAATTCAGTGTTCAAAATAAATAAATAATAAAAGAAAATACAGCTAAGCCTTGGAAATTCGATCGATCGGATCCCAGTGTGTCAGAGATAACACTTGGATTGCGCGTGCGTTTTCTGTAGTTTGTTCCGTCTGCTGGTTTTCATATCGTGACAAATCATTTCAGTCAATAGATAGCCTATTATGGTCTTCATGGAGTTACTTTATTTATGAGCTCAACAGTAACGCGCTTATGCAACCGGTTTCTAATGCAAGTGAGCTTGCTTTCAAATGGGTGGAAGACGTCTGACTGTTTATTAAAAGAGAGCGAGAGAGAGAAAAAAAGGGGGGTTTAGTGCGCAAACAAGCGCCTTGGGTATGTATGAATACACTTTTATCATGTAGCTACTGGAGGTCCTGCATTTACACGGTGCTTATAACAATTATTGCAGCTTGCATCAAAACTGTTAAAGGAATATTTACCCCAAAATAAAAATTCTGTCATTATTTAATCATCATGATGTCGCTTCCAAATGGCCATCCACCCATCTAACCCTATAGGACAAGAGGTTTGGAAAATGGATGGATGGATGGATGTTGTGCCAATTTTTTTTTCTTTTTCTTTTCTTTTCTGATGTCCATGCTAATGTCCTAAGTTTTTGTGAGGAACAGAATGGAAACGTTAAATTCTTCCTCTTTGCAGGTTTTTTTTTTTTTTTAAATCTCATTCACACTTGCAAGTCAAGTAAGTTTCATTGTGAATGATCATTAGACATGTTAAAACCAATTATGTTTACTATCAGCCCTGCAATGGATGTGTTTTAAGACGCCATGTTTGACGAAAGTGAGATTTATTTATTTATGGGTCTTTTGGCTTTTGATAGGAAAGTGTAAAATTGACAGAGATTGGAAAAATTCGAGCTCAGGTCCACATACATTATCATTCCATGACATTTCAGTGCATGTGCATTACATGAGAGTTCGGTGGGGGGTTTGGAGATGTTCATTGAAAAAAACTATTCACATTTCCTTTTTTTTTTCTTCACAAAATTGTAGGACTTGGAATATAGACTGCAAAGTACTTCAGTGGTAATTAAATGTAATTTTTAGAGCTCAAAAGGCCTTGTTCCCATTCACATGGATTACAGCTGCATGATTTTATTCTTTCTTTCACGACATCTGCATTTTACAGAAGAAAGAAAACAATGTGGGTTTGGAACTAGAAGGTAACCTCATGATACACATTGACAAAACATCCGGCATGATTCAATACATTTTTATGGAGAATCATAACATAATTTGACAACAACAGGATGTTCAAGAAAGAGAGTGAAATTAAGCTAGACATACACATGTTAATAGGAGAAAGACCTGGCCACATAAATGTGTCTCTGCAAAACGAATATAAATTCAATAGAGTTCACATCACTGAATGCAACAAATGTCCTGCATTTTATTTATTGTCAGCTAATTTCAAGATCAAATGCTGCAATAAGAAAGAAAGCGACAACAGCACTGGTGACAGAATTTAGTGTTCACCACTTATAGCAAAACTGACTGTGTGTTGAGCTCCAGTATGTGATGCAGAACGTTGAGTTTCATTTGCGACAGTTTGCACATCTGCTTGCCGAGGAGAGATGCTCATCTCCAGCAGGCCTTACCTGTGGCTTTCTGGCTTGTTGCAGCAGCACTGTGGTAGTTGAGTTGACTATGCCTTTATTTTATTTTATTTAAATAAACTATGTCTTTAGAAAAACAGAAAATATGTTTAAACCTTTTTATATAAATAGTTTATACTAAAGGTTGAACAGTAGAAGAAATTAACTCATATAGCATTGCTTTTGGTGTATATCCCAACCCTTGAAAGACAAGGCGTACAGATGTGAAATGGCCTGGAACAGATTGAAAACCACATTAAAGTTGTGAAGACCATAGCCCAGATATCTTGGCAAGGCCATGGTAATGAGGGCAGTAGTAGATAAGAAACATGGCAGGTTAAGTGCTGAAAGCTGAAGGTCTGTGAGCTCCAGAAGACTCCTCCCTCAAGGGAGCCATTTTCAGCTAGCCTGTGAGCTCGGCTCGGGCCAGAGTTAAAATTATAGCTCCAAATGCAGTGCTCAAAGCAAGAAAATAAACCCACTTTCAGCACTTCTGCAAAACTGAGAGAAGTGGGCATCAGTTTGTGTCTGCTCTCTCTCTCTCTCTCTAGCTTTAGTTCAACTAACTTCAAGGAAAGATTAATGCTTTACATTAGCATTTCACTTTAAAGGAATGGTGCCAAAGTGATTAAAGTTACTTCGAGGAATTATTAGTTTGTGCTGTTGTTTGTCACAACCATCCATTATTCCTAACTTTTAAAACTGGCTTCTGTCCCCAAGATATCAAAGCTGCTTGTCCTTTTTCAGGCAACTGACATTTGCATATTAAAATTGAATTAATTTTTATATATTTATTTATTCATAAGGTTGGAGGGAGGCAATGTTATTCTAGAATGTTATACCCTCTTCGACTCTCTGACATTTGACCACCTGTTTTAATCTAAATGAACCATGACTCATCCACCGTGGAGTTGCAGGGTTTTGCTATTAACCTTGCCCTACCCTTTACACCTTGTTTTCAATATGCAGAGTGAGGCATATAACAAGATGACTTCTTAACTGTGACTGTATCTAAACAGACTTTTCACCATTACTTCGACCTTTCAAGTGCTTGGAGCTCAGAGCCTCTTTTTTAGTGGGCGGCTATGCTGGAAAGAAGTGAAAAATCCAGATTTACACGTCAAACTGGGATGGCTGAAGAAAAGCACTGCCTTTTTTTCTAATGCAGAAAAATGTGTCTGAGCTCTCCAAATCCTTAGTATTTGGTATTCCTAGATGACTCAGCAGTTTTTACACCTCTGTAGTAGGATTATTTGACAATCCCCATTGAAATTTGCATGTGGTCAGCATGCAGGAGGAAAACACAAAGGAGAACGTGCCAGCTAGACGGTCAAAGTTATGTGTTGTCTCATGTCAGACCTGGCCTGGTTGTATCTGACTAGAATACTAGCATGGGTCAGAATGGTCATATTATAATTTTTTTTTTTTGGGCAGATTTCCCCCAATACTGCTTCACTTTAGGAGAATGATACAATTTACCTGTAAAACTTGACAGTGCTTTGTTTGTTTATTATTACACATTTTCAGAAACACGACAAAAGAAACAATGGTTTTGAAAACCAAGACAAATCATAACCCAAACTATTAGCATACAGTAAAATAGATTGGTTTACTTTAGTGTGATTGTGTTAGAGATGCCAGCTTGAGCTTAAATCACTGTCCCTTCAGCCGCATAACCAGAAAGGAAAAGTAGAGCTGGGGTTAATCAATTCTGACAGGAGGTAAACTAGGTGAGCCTTTTTAATGGCAAGAAGACTCTACCGGGGTCAGTCAAGAGCTTGTCACTCACTAGTACAAGCAGTGAGTAGACAGAGATATGTGAAAGGAGAAATGAAAGTTAGCCTAGAGCACTCATGACTCACTGATTCAGCTCATGCACCTAAAGAGCTGTAGCCAATGAAAATCTTATTTGCATCTATTTAATGTATTTGTGAAATTCAGAAAGACCACTTAACATGCAAATATCTTATGTATGTGCAAGAAAATTCAGTACAATTCACCTGTGAAGACTTTTTTATGATAAGAAGACAAATTTATTAGTTCAGCTAGTTTAGATTCTTTAATTTCCAAAAGAAATAAAATATGGTAATTTGCTCCCTGCCAGGACATAGGATTTACACTTCAGTGGCCAACACTTCTCATCTTCTAAAGGTAGCTGTCACACATTTTAGCATGCATATAATGTTCATTAAGTAGCTTCAAGGGTACTTGGACTTCATTTGATTCGTAGTCAAAACTGCTTCAAATAAATATCGATAAACTGTGTTTGATAAGGCCAGTTTGAAGGGAACATGCTTTTTTTAAACAAGTCCTTTTTTTCTTTGTTCAATTTTTTATTGACAGCTGAACTTGGAAGTTGAAGAGACAAAAGGGAAAACAGAAGACTTGCAAAGTCAAAGATAAGGACGGAATTAATTTTAGGTCGAAAAAATCCAGGTCACAGCCTCACATTCTCCCGATAGCTTATCTGCTTATCTTCTTCACAGAATTTTTGGTGGCTGCCTGCTCACAAGCATATAATGACCTGGACTCTTCCATAAAAATTCAACCCGTTAGCCATATTGGGCTTCAGGCACAGATTGGGACCATTACTCAAAGCTTGGTCATTTCTCTACTTTTCAATCGTTTGGTCCTGTGGCTGCACTAGTCTCGTTAACTATGTGTTGTCTGCATCACACTAATTTTCTCCTGCCTGCCAGAACCCAGTCAACTTTTTACTTTCCATT